GACACAGAATCCAAAGTAGGCTCCAAGCTGTCAGCACAGAGCCCAACGCGAGGCTCGAACCCACAAACAGTGAGATCATGACCTGAGCTCAAGTCGGTCACTTAACCAACTGAGCCACCCAGGTGCCCCCCCCCTTTTTAAATGTTTATTTATTCTTTGAGAGAGAGAGAGACAGACAGAGTGTGAGGGAGGAAGGGGCAGAGAGACAGGGAGACACAGAATCGGAAGGAGGCTCCAGGCTCTGAGCTGTCAGCACAGAGCCAGACGCGGGGCTGGAACCCACGAACTGTGAGATCATGACCTGAGCCGAAGTCGGACACTTAACTTACTGAGCCCCCCAGGCACCCTGCAGAATGCCAGTTCTGACCTCAGCACTGCTCAGGGTGACCCAAGGAGCACAGGACAAGGCACAGATTAGCTGCTGTGGGAATGGGGATGTGGTTGAGTTGGATGCAGCTGTCTGCCAATCTAGATGATGCTCATTCGGGCATCTGTCAGCTACCCTTCAAACTTTCCCCAAACACCCTCTTTGCACTTGGCCCTGGGGACTCCAAGGGACTAAGGCACAGGCACTGGGTTCACAGAGCTTAGTTCAGGAAAACAGTGTGGAGACTTCAACCTTGAGGATCATGAACCCCTCTGAGAAGTTGATGGAAGCTAGGAGCCTTTGTGCAGAAAAATGCCCACCTGATTGTACGTGCCAATCATACACACGTGCAATGCACAGAGCCCTTGCAAAAACTCTCTCAAAACAATTAAATTCAGTGGGCGCAATGTTATTACAGGAATCATAGCATGGAAGTTAAGATCACAAACTGGGGGGCGCCTGGGTGGCTCATTCGGTTGAGCATCCAACTCTCGCTTTCAGCTCAGGTCATGATCTCATGGGTGGTGAGACTGAGCCCCGCATTGGGCTCTGTGCTGACAGTGTGGAGCCTGCTTGGGGTTCTCTCTCTCCCTCTCTTGCTGCCCCTCCCTGGCTCATGCTCTCTTTCCTTCTCTCAGAATAAATAAACTTAAAACAAATGTTAAAAAAAAGATCACAAACTGGAGCCAGACTTCCTGGGTTCAAGTCCTAACTCTATTACTTATTATCTTTGTGACCTTGGGCAAGTTTCTCAACCTCTCTTGCCTCCTTTTCTTCATCTGTAAAATGGGGACAATGATAATGGCAGCTACCTCAGAGGATTGTTTAGAGAATAAAATGAATCCGTATGTATAAAATGTGGATATTGGCAGTGTGAGCACAATGAGCACGGGGCCTCACCTGGGTGGGGACAACAGGTGAAGTCCAGGAAAGCTATCTGCAGAGTGGGGCTTATGTAATGGAATTTTAAAGAACAAACAGAAGTCACCCACGTCAAAAAGCGGGAGGGCATTCTTGGCCAGGAGCACCAGGTGCAAAGGCAAGGAGGTGAGAAATGGGATGTGGGGGCTGGACAAGGGCTGATCTGCAAGTGCCTCCTCCCAACCCCCTCACCCTTCCCAGAGGGCAGCAGCACCTAGGAAGCCTCTTTTCCTGAGTCCGCTCCTCTGCCCCCTCCTCCAGGAAGCCTGTTTGACCTCTCAGCCAGATGTGCCTCCCCTCCTCTGAGCCCTGGAGCACTTGCTGTGGACGCCCCAGGAGGGGTTTCTGTTCCACCCCCTTATCCTGGGCTCAGGCTGATCTCACAATCTTGACTGTAAACTCTTGAAGGAAGTGGCTGTGTTTTGTTTCCCTGTACTGAGCACAGAGGCCTGCACAAAGAGACCTGTTCCAATGCCCCCAGGGTAAAGGCTGTACTCCTTGGCTTGGCTTTCCA